AGATGGCACAGTATTTTTCTTTTGCAAACTGAATTTCTTTTCTATGGCTGTAGTGTATATGCAATTCTGAATTTTTACAAGGGTGACAAAATTGTGATTTTGCCTGATGCACTCTATTTCTGACCCATTTCTGTAGTATTTTGCATTTACAATCTTGAATACAGCTGCTCTAATTCTTTTAGTGGGAGCCTCACCTTTCTCCTTTGCTATAATAGTCTGTAATTCCCTTTTTCCCCCGCCTTATCTTCATTCCCCACCCTTTTACACGTGCATGCATGTCTGCTCTCTGTGAAATCCCAAATTCCTGCAGCCCAACTTTCAGCTGCCTTAGCTTCCTGAAGTATAGTCATGCTGTATCACTCATAAATATCACTTGTACTGCAATCCTGTCTTCCAAGTTCCAAGAAAGTCCACCAGAGTGTGAATTTTTTTAAGCCCCTCTGCACATGGGACACAAAATGAATGCTCCTGGGGACCAGAAGGAGAAGCTGCAAAGGCTGAAAAAGGATGAAGGAGGAGAGAGATGGGAGAGGTCAGATGAAATTATCCTGAGCCTTCTCCATTCCAACCTGGTACATCCTGTGCTTTCGCAAGGGGGCAACTTCCTGGTTTGAGAGCTGTTTCTTTGATACATTTACCCTTTAAGCACTCCTGTAAACTGAGAAGTCCAGTAACTCCCAGTTCGCCATTAAGGAAATGAGGCAGAAGGGAGGAATGCCATGGCTGCATGAACATCTCTTGCAGCTGCAGCACCAGCTCCAACAGCTCCAGGTGACTGCCACAATCACCTGGCATGGACCTTGGGGGTGTTGATGCAATGGTCTGCACAGCTGCATGGTGTGCCAGCAACCCAAGCGGAGAGAAAGAAAGCCTATTTTTATCCAAATCCTTGCACTGACTCACCCAACGGCTCAAACAGTAGTGCTGGCATAACAGGAAGGGGGAAGAGAAGGGGCAGAGTGCACAAGGCTGTTACCCGCTTCTTACTGTTTGACCAAAGAGAAGGTTTGGTGGCAGAGGGAGATAATAGGGTCTGTTAAGCCAGTACTACTGCCAAAAGAAATGCATGTCCTAAGATTATAAACAGGTGCTCTTTTCCAAAGCCCAGCTGATCCCGTGAAAAAAGTCACTGTCCCCATCTTTTGTTGGCATCACCCATCAGATATTAATGCTCCTCACATCTGTTAGTACAGTTGCTAGTATGAGTATTCCCTTTTCAGATTAAACGAGCAGAGTTACCAAACTCACATATTTACACTACCTGCATTACCTCAGACCCATTTGCCTAAATAAGATTAAGATGAAGTGAGCCAACAGATCTGAGGAGACAGCGAACTCCAGCAGAGGGGCAATAAACAGCTGGCAGGTGGTAACCTCTTCAATAAACACAACTTCTGATGTACTGAGGGACTCTATCCATTTAGGCCCTAAACGTTGGTCATGGTGATGTAGAGGCAGTTACATGTCCGGAAAGAGAGTTTATCTGTTCTTTACATGTCAGGCCTGCAGCGGTAAAAGCTTCAGGGTGTGGGGTTTGCCATCTTTTATTTCTTTATTAACTTCTTATTATATCTTTCTATTACTGCATCAATGGGATGTACACTTGTGAAGCATATGCTGAACCATTGTACATCTCCAGAGTCCCAGGTTTGTATTATAACTGCTGGTCCATCATCCTTGCTCATGCAGAGACTCAGTGGAGCCTGAAAGCTGCAAAAGCGAACTTGTGATTCTTCTCTGAGTTTCAGGTGGGAATGGTCCTTGCACAGGAGGCATCTGAAATGGCTGCAATCTCTAGATTCACAGTGAGAGGTTAGCTTGGATGAGGTTGCTCCACACCAGCTGAAGAAGGGGCAGCCATGGCTTTGTTTCCAGGGAGCCAGCCTAAGAGAAGGCTGAGCTCCTGAGGGGTGCAATAGCTGTCAGTTACGCACGCAGCCCCCATGGACATGTGGAGCTTGCTCCGATCCTCAGCAAACAGGACGTCACTACCAACTGCCGTTAGGGTACTTCACTTTCACATCCTTTCTGCCACAACATGTCTGATTGTCAAAGCCACAATCAAATCCTCATTGTGAGGGCAAAGTATTTCTCAAGAAGAGCATCCCCTATAGCTGGCTCCCTGCTTCAACTAAGCTAAGAGCTAAACTAAGGTAAGAGAAGGGTTATATATATATATATATATATATATATATATATATATATATATATACATATATATATCCTGGATGTAAACTACTTCAAGATATGCAGATCTGAAAAATCTCAATATGCTACTAATCTAGGGCGTGATCCTGGAAATGCTTACTAATTCCTGTAGTTCTTCCTCCTGTTAAGCCATGAAATTTAGTGACAGACTTGAGCATCTACCATGTGGTGAGGACTGGACTGTTTAAAACATCTGTTTCTTCTTGCCTAAATTTAAAAAGAAATGTTATTAAAATTAGAAAGACCATTCTATTAATCCAAAATATCATCTAGTTATTTAACAAAGACTTAACAATGTGAGTCATCTGCATTAACAAATCCAGATGCTATAGTCAGAGGCAGCAAAGATTCAGGGACTGACAATAGACTTGCTTTGTATGCTAATTAATTTTTTGCTATTTGTTTTTCATTCCAAAGAGACCATCCCTAATATTTTATCTCTCTTGGTGGATTCTAAGTGAACAGAAAAATTCTGGGTTCTCTCTCTTTCTTTAAAAAGTAATATACAAATACTATTAAGATTTTTCTAATCTATTCAGCGGACTTCATAAGAAAATGAAATGTGTGCATATCTTCTTGCTGTGTTACAGCTGTTTTCGTCTCATCCAGAGGATTGGACAAATGTGGTTTTCATTTGACCACATTTAAATTTAAATTGCCACACCATTCTGTGCTGGATGTAAACTTACTATGCATATGTCCAAGAAGAAAGGAGCCTCGTTTGGGAACCGTTGTCCATGGTGATTCTCACCAGCTAGAAATCAGGGACTGCACTCATTCTGGGAAAGGCCACATAATGTAAAGTCATCACAATCACCTTGTCTTTTTTGCTCTTCATTGAAGGGCTGGTCTCACTGAATGGGAATTTTCAAAGTACCTTGCAACACAAGAATCACAGTTCAGCAGGAGCAAAGTGAGGCTAGTACTAAACACTTTGCTGATTTAATTTTAATATATATAATTTTTATACAGAGATCTTATTTGCACAGCTCAATGCAGTCATGTATTTGAAGAGCACTGCTGATTAATTAGGTCGGTTCAGTATGAATCAGTTAGGTGATCTCTATTTTATGTCTATTTTGAAGTTCATTATTGTGAACTTCACCCCATTCAATTCTCCATCCTGTTTCAAAAACTTATTGCTAACTCTACTTGGGCAGGAAAGGGAATCATTAAAAGCACTATGCAAGCCTCTTGAGTATGGTGGGTCCTGTTACAGATGTATAAATCCAGCTTATTACTCAGCTAAGGGGAATTGACTTTCTTGCTAGGTTTTGAAAACAGAGAGATCATGAGTTGGAAGGTGTGAAAACTGCAGTTTTTATGACCAGACCTGAACCAAGTTCTCCATTCCTGGGTTGGAGTCTGTACCAGCTTTAAAAGTAATTTGCCTCTTTTTGTAAATATATATTATGGTTTTACTCCTATTCTCTTGAAAGAGTGCAGAAACAACTGATTTCATTTGTTTGGAATATTTATCTCAACGCTTCAGTAAAAACAAATTCACATTTCACTTAGAAATACAACAAAGGTGGAACATGCTAGACTTCCCTTTTTGCTTCTTTACTTCCAGTTCAGGAGTTTCTTTATTCAGTCTGATGTTAAATCTACTTGTATTAGGGAATCCTTTTTATCTGAGCAAATCTTATTCCTTAGCAATGAATCTCAGAACATTGTGGGGTGATTGTATAAAGCCATTGCTTTTTCTTTATTGCCCACTAAAGAAACATTTATGATTAAATGGGAAAGGGAACTATCTCATTCTCTTGAGCTGGAGATATTGGACTCAATAATGTCCTTCATACGTGTATGCTCTATTTCAGCTAACCAGTTAGAATTGCAATATAAAATTGTAAATCAATGGCATCAAGCACCTGTGAAGATGAGTAAGATTGCAAGCCATTTCTCAGATAGATTTGGAGAAACAGCTCCCAGCCAAGAACTCTTTTACATGTTCTACAGGGTCTGTCCTAAATTACCCCAATAAAGTCACTTGTTATACATCATATTGAGAAAATTGCCAGCTATCTGATGTCAAGTACTCAGGAACACTATACGTAGGGGGACTTGGACTTGGAGATATGTGACATACAACTGGATGTTAATAAAAATTGAGTTACAGGCTCTTTAGCTGGCTATATGCAGAGCTAAAAATTCAGAATCTTCTTCAGTAATGAAAGCAGCTCCTCAGGAATTTGTTCAAATCTGTTCTGTTTAGCTATAACTGCAGAAAATGCATTATTTCTATACAAAGTGTTCCTTTATTGATTACTTCAGTTCGGGTAGGAATAGTTAAACCCAGTTACTCATAAACACTTTATGAGATAGAAAGAATGAAAGTAAGAAGGAATTTTGTTTGTTTTTCTTGTCTTTCTGTAATCACAGTGGTATCTCTTTTTAAGCTAGTCATCTTCTGCTTGGCTGATTCTCCTGTAAGGGCTTTAATAATATGAATTTAATATGAACTGTACTTTTGTACCTACAAATATATATCAGTTGAAATCCTTACTTTCTGCATTTTGGAATAAATTTACAAAGATTTATATATGTGAAATATCCCCAGACCTAACAAATGCAGAGTTGTTATTGCCCAGCCATGGTTTTTACCTCTGCAGAGCTCAGAGATCAGTGCAGTATAAACACTTGGCATGGCAGCCGGAAAATATAACATAAAAATACATACCACCCCACTGATGGTATTTCAGCCCCACTCACAGAGCCGCCAGTAGCCACTGAGGACAGTGCTGTCACAAGGGTGTTCTCCTGTTCCCTGCAGAGGACATTGGAAGGTGGGGGGAGATACGTCTTAGTGCGTGAACCTGATGGTTTATGGTGCTCTGGAAGAGTGATGACAGGTCTGCTGCCAGAAAAGGGATTAGAATGTTACCTAGAAGAAAGAAGATAGAAGGAATCAAAGAATGATCAAAGAAAGGATCAGAGAGAGGAGAAACTCCAAGGAGAGGCACCTGCACAGAAGATGGCATCACAGAGGTCAAAGCATTTTATTATGGCTCTGGATTCAGAAATGTGAGGCAGAAGTTATAAGCCAGTAAAGAAAATGGTGACTACTTCACTTGGTGTCTTTGATTCAAAAATGATTTCTAGAACATGCTTGCTCATCTATGAATCATGAGGGTTAATTACATAAAATTGCTTGACCTGTGTTATACCTCAGGTAATGTTACCTAAAGGTATCTTCTGACCTTAAATTTTATGAATCTGCATAAAGTAACTGTAAGGAAGAAACAGAAGAATATGATGTTGTTTCACTGATTTGAATTACAAAATGCATTTGCATCTTCATTTGCATTTACTGTCTTAAGAATAACTGTACTGTATGCAGTTGTGGGATGGAGTTGTCACTGTGAGTTGAAAAGAGGTGAACATGTTTCCTGAAAGACCAAGATCACATTCACAGGATTGATGTCTACTAGCATAGCTGTAAAGAGATGCCAGCTCTGTCAGGCGTAGCTGTGTCAACAGAAGCCTCTGGTAGAGACACAGTTGTACCAGTAAAATGGTATTTTTACCAATAATATTTTATGACAGTGGTGGGAGATGGTTTTATTCTACTAGCAGACAGTAGTGTTTTGCTAGTACAGATGTAGCCATGCTAAACTGCTTAGGATTTTAGTATTCACTGCAAAGCACTCCCCTCAGTGATTCCTAAACTAATCAATTTTGTTGGTGCTGCCAGAGAAAGGCCATGCAACTGGCCCTGGCAACTGACAGCTTTGTGGTACCATACATGACAGTATTTAATAAGGGGAGAGTGCAGAGAGAGTTTCATGAGAAGTCCAGGCTACATCTGTTGGCCACATAGTTTTTTCAGGCAGGCATGTGAAAAGATCAGGCTGAACGAAGTTGGAGTAAACAATGACTAACAAAAAATTTTTTTTCAAAAATACTTTCTGTCATTTGAAGAAAAGGTTTAACAATACTGGTAAAAATGATACTGTAATAAATTGTGCTGACCCCATGGTTTTCATAATTACAACTATACTGGAAAATTCTTTGTGGTGTAAACTAGCTCTCAGAAAAGACCCTAGGGGAAAGGGTGAAGGGCGATAACAGTTAGCACTTCATTCAGGAGCAGGGAAGGAGGAGGGAACATCACTACTTTGGTCTGTAAGGGCAGGCCAGATGCACCAGCTTGATCAGACTGTGACCCACTCTCAAGCCTTGCCTATACAAAGTGTGTGGATTACTCTTTATTCACTTGTGCTCATGGCCTCCGTTTCCAGAGAGTTCCTAGGAGGTGAGTGTGCACAGCTTTAGGACCAGTTTATCAGATTCAGTCTCTACTGAGCTGGTGCTCAAAAATGCAATTCTTCGTTTTCACAGTTCATATCTAGGCACTCTGTAATTTGGAAGGGCATGACCACTAATCAACCTTTACTCCACCTTAATAAAGTTTTGCAATATTCTATGTCCTTACTTTCCCCCTCCTCCCCCCATCGCAACAAATTTCTTAAAGCCTTTCAGTACTCTGGTACAGTTTTTTCTCTGTCACTGCTTCTGCAGCTTTAACAATGATTCTCCTGCTCAAAATGGTGACTGGTTCCATGCTAGAGCTTTCACTGTGTCTGCACAACTCACACCTGAGCCCTTCTCCTCACCGAGGAACAGGACTCAGAGGACTCAAAGCTGAACCTTAGGGCAGAGGAACAGGACTCAAAGGCTGAACCTCAGGGCATTCAGAAACAATTTGGAGGTGACTGTGGAAGTGATTGTTGGGAATGCATTTTCAAGCAAGGTGAGCTAGGGATGCTGCTCCGACTGCTTCTTCTCTCTCTCTCTCTTGTACTGTTGTGCCATTTGTGTCTCATGGTGCTTTCACAGTGCTCACCCACCACAGGGCTTTTGTTTCTCCTTATTTCCAGCATTGCAGCTCTGACTCTTCCGTTACCACACCATCCCACCATACCCCCGTTGTCTGTCCCCCATCGCAGCAGCTGCCAGTCTCACACGTGTGTGCCGACATCCCACACAGGACTGTGTGGTGCTTTATTTCACTTCTCCTCGGGGAAAACATGAAGGGCTGGCAGCGAAGGCTGGCAGCGAAGTGGGAAAGTGAAGGATCTGGGAGGGGTGCAGGTGCACCTCAAGGCAGGCTAGAGGCTGGGAGAAGCAAAGGAATGGAGAAAAGATTGCAACTTCTGCTCTGAGGTTGTGCCTTGCACCTCAGAAAGAAAGGTGCTGGCACACAGGAGGCCTAGAGAAGACTGAAGTGGCCCATTCCTCTCCATGAGGTGTTCAAACACACACACGAGCAGCACAAAAAGATGAACACAGCTGGGAACAGGAGCCTGTGGAATAGTGAACTGCTCTTTGCTGCAGTTACTGTGCATTCTTCCTTGCCCTTTCCAGGGAATTTGGGCTCACACAGGCCATGGAGAAGGGCTCAGGTGCCAGCAGAGGTGGGAGCAGTGCAGATCCTAATTTGCTCCCATGGAGGGACTGGTGTGGATCCAGCTGTGACAGGGTAAATGAGGGCCTGGAGCTGGGTGTCTTCGGTGCTGCCAACCTTCCGTGCCAAGCCCGGGGAAGGGAGACGCTGCTCGACTCGATTTGGTTCTACCAGTGGAGACAGGAGCAGGGTGAGGCACACACCGACCGCTGCCCTGAGCTGGAGGGGGTTCAAAGGCCCAGCACAAACTCCCGTGGGGCTCAGGCAGGACCAAAACTTTGGTGTGAACATGGGAGATGCCTGACAAGGCTGTTCTTGGCAACTCCTTGGGCAAGTGGCCTACAGCTGAGACTCTGAGCACTGTGCAGCCCCTCACTGGGGCACTGGGGCCGGGAACAGGTTTGGGGGAGTTCACAAGGGTCCCTTTTGGGGATGGAAGTGCTGCTTGGTGAAAGCTGTGTTTGCTTTTGCTGGTGCACAAGAGGGAGGTTTAAACAGCAAACAAAACAAAACAAACAAACAAAGCCACAGTGGTTGAAGCAGTGAATTCAAATATCACTTATACTAATGTGTTGCAAATTTGCTCCACAAAAAAATGTTATTTTAACACAAAGATTTTGGGAGTGTAGGCAACACAGATCCCAGGCCGTCATAATAACTACTTAATATATGAAGTAGTGTTTCCATGGGATCCTAAATTGAGTGGGTAAATAAACGCATGTATCTTTAAATTAATTCAATCCGGCGCAATGCAACTGACTGCCCCGGGTCTGGTGCTACTTAGGACGATCCCGGCAGCAGTTTGTGAACGCCGCGAACTCCCGGCAGCGGGCCAGGCACGGGCCGCCGGCTCTGCCCGGCGCCACCTCGCGGCCGCCCGCCTGCCGGGCCCGCCGGCGCCCGGTGCCTGCCGGGAGCGGCGGCCATGTCGCGCTCCACGGGCCGTGGGCAGGGCGGGTTGGGAGCTTCCGCCGGCCCTTAGTTCTCTCCTCACACGGACCTCGGCAATCAGACAAGAGCCTAGGGGCTTACCTTCTTTTAGTATTCTGAGTGTGTTGTGCCACATCATCTGCGCAGTGGTGCCACTGGAGCTGTGGTGCCCGGTGCCTCCTGCCGAGCTGGTGACGCTGGCTCCCTGGGCTGTTTTTTTGGGGCAACAGTTCCCCCCATGCCTGTGCGTTCGCCTCTTGCTCTACTCAGAAGTGTTTTTCTAAGCGATAATGCTTAGATGGGACTTGGCACACCCATTGCCTGCGGAGAGAACACTTGTGGTAGTAGGAGTTGTGATAAATCACAGTTACCTTGAAGGGGCATAAATGGAAAAAAAGAAAAGAGGAAAGGACTCAAAATTTTTATTTGGGGTACAAAGAGCACCGAAGTTAAATTTTCAAAGGCTTACAAAGACCAATGGAAAAGCAATGGAGGGATTAAACAGGAGTACTGGTTTTATCACACCCTGAATGCTCATTCTGTAGATATGCAGCAAAATCCTTACTAATCTCTAATAAAAGTCCTCAGAATATAGTGTGGCCTTGCAAAAAATGGCGTAAAAGGGCTATCATGCATCTTTGCTCCATTCCCCATTTGGTGGACATTAAGGTTGTTGCCTGATGGAGGTTTTGAGAGCAGGCAAAAGTCATGATACCGCTGCTCCCCAGGGCAGTGTTGCATGCTGTCAATGTTGTATGAAGTCAGTTGTACAGTTGTGATGACAGCCTTGACAGGCAATGCTTTCAATAGCAACCCAGTGTTCCACAGTCTTTTGAGAAATTAAATATGTTAATTTTTTTTTACTGAAAGTAAGTTTCCATAAGTGTAGGGACAAGGTTAGAAATGTTACTAAGTATACCCCTCAATGGGTGAAATACCAGAAGATCAAGACAGTCATTGTTTGTTTTTCAGTCCCATAACGAGGGTAATTTTTGACTGGGGAAAGGGTCAGACTTCTGATTTTGTCATTCCTTGGGTTTGCAATACTACCTAACACTGTACCTGGACTGTATCCTAGTGTAGTAACTCTGTGTGTGGACAGGAGTGTCATGTGTGCTCACAGTGGCAGTGGGCTCCTGGCCACTCAATGACAGTATCTTCCTTCGCAGGATGCAGCAGCCCCTTCAGTGTCCAGATATCAGAAGCCAGGAGCCATTGCCTGTAATGAACACTTCTCTCAAACCACCAGGACTTAAATTTCTATGCTTGCTTTGTGCTGTTCTGCTGTTCACAAACTGCCCACATGCTGTTCCTTCCCTCCTGTAGGACACTGACCCCTGACAGCAGATTTGCTGAGGTGTTTTTTCTCTTCTACATTGAGCCTTTCAGGTATAGTCTAACTGAGAAGAGAAAGTGGGCTAACTGGTTTTACATGGTCCTCTGTACATACATCTACATGTATGGGTGAAACAAGACTTCTGAGTATCTCACCTTCCAATAGAAAATAAATATTATTTTTAAGGTCTTAGAAAGAAATTTTGTACGTCTATAGAGTGGGTCGATGCTTTTCTGGCCAGAGAACAGGGGTTCTCTTGGGTTTTATAAAACATGCTCAAAATGGGGCCAGAGAAAAAAAATCAATGGTCGGAGATACTATATGCTGATTTACAGATAGATTAGGGATATCAATATTACAGCCAATATGGGTATTTGTACATTATGTTTGTGCTGTGTATAGTACCTTCATTTTATTCACAAGCCTAAATCACATCAGAGATTCCTGAGCATTCAAAAATAGGAACTCTTACATAACTAAAGAATAGAAACTAAAGAATAGAAAGATTCTGATTAATATAACTGCCTTCTTGAATGTGTATCAAACCCATGATTGTAGAGAATGGAAAAAGTTACTTTGTGGAGTTCAAGCTATTTCTCTTTTGTTAAAACAAGAGCAACTTGAAAGATGGTGTAAGTTTTATAATTCAAATGGCTCAAGTGCCTTACTCTAGGAGTTGGAGGAAGGAACATCTTATCCACACTGCTACCACTTATGTGTATTTAAAAATAGACAACACAGAGACTCGGTATATACCTGATGCTTCTTGCACAGTGGATACAACTTTGATGGTTTATGCCATGTCCAAAACAAAAGAGATTCTGTACCTTCTTCTCTAACACAAGGTTTTGTCTGAACTGAGTGTACTCAAGAGGGGCAAAAGCTGAACTGAAACTGAGCCATTTTGTTTCCCCTACTCTAATTCTGCTCAAAGAATATCAATTCTAGCTAAAATTTTGAGACAATCAAAAAGGCACCCTTCAGTAAAACTGGATGTTTTACAGATACAGTATGTGAAGAGGAATATTTTCTTCTTCCAGTGTCTTTTTTATGTGGTTATCATGTAGATAACAGCAGGAAATTCCACTTAAGTAGATCCTTAATGGATTTAACTAATGGTTTCTTTGTGATGCTCTCAGACAGTTCTCCTGTAATGTGGATCCTCTAAATATTTAAATCCACCATTGAAGCATTTAATAGGAAGAAAGTCTCCTACCATTAGAATAAAGAAAAGGCTTTCAGCTGGAAACAATACCAAACCAAAATCTGATTTGTACAACTGCATCAAGAATCCAAGCTCACTTGCTCTCTGAGGCAACTGGTACAACAAGGACCTGGGGTGCCAGGTAAACAACAAGGGATCATTTGTATATTCAATCTCTGTCCTTTGCTGTTTCTCTACGTCCTCTATATTTTTGAGGGCTGTTGGTATGATTATTGATTTGAGTGAACAATAAAGCTGGTAAATTAATATTGCTACTTACTGTTGGTACAGGGAAACTGCCTAACCCATGGGCTCATGGAATCTTGAGAATAGTGGGTGGGTTAACCTCGCATGCTTCTCCTTGTTTTGAGTCTTCTGACACTGTCTCAAAGTGATCTTACTGTTCTATCCATTGTCCTTTTATTTTATTCCTTTTAGAAGTGGTGCCTAATGTTTCTCGAGTTCCATAAAATATTTGAGCTGGAAGGAAAAACCTTTTAGAAATCTACTTACTGTATTGTCAAAACCCAATTTTTTCTCTCCTGTCTCCTGCTTGAGAAAAACAGTCACTTCAGAAACTAGCACTGCTCTTTAAGCTGTCTGCTTATTCCTGGATTTTACCATGTTTCCCTTGCACAAAGAACAAAATCTATTATTTTCAATCTAGATTGTTTTTGAAAATGAGAAATAATAGAAAAAGAAAGGTTCCCTGTAGCTTGCATTCAACAGAACAAAACCATAGAACTGCAATTGCCCCACAGCTGCTTTTGTGGTATATAATATACATCCACTACCTTTGAATACGTAGGACTCCTCAAAAAGAATAAATATCACTCTCAGCTAAATACATCTGTTTATTCTTCGCTGCACAGTTTGAGCACGGATGTTTATTTCCGCAGATGATATCAATAAATTTATAGGAATTTTCTGCCATCACTTCACAGTCCGTATTGTCTAAATCTACCTGTAACCTGTTCCATTTCTAGCCCTTAAATACAGACACTTTTAAAATTTTATTCTCTGATATTTCTGTGATACAATTAATTTCTGCATTTCAGTCACTTGGTATTATTATGTATACAAGCACATAAAGCCATTCTGAATTCTTCCATGCACAACTGTGGTATACACAATAATACACAATATAAGCAGTAAAGTTTCTCACTTGCTATGGAAACTGAACATCTAGAAAGGGCACACTGGACCAAGTTACCCAAAATGGCACCCTCATTTGGCTCTAATGGGAAGGTTCTCTAATAAAATGAGTGTGTACTTAAATTTTTCTTCTTGTTGCATCTCAGTGCTGTTAGCGATAATGCAGAACTATCAGCATGTTCCTCTCACGCTTGTACTTTATGTTGCATGGATACACTCAAAGGCTCAAATTAAAGGCTTTCTTGCTATCCTACCCGCTGCCAGAAATGGAGTGCCTGTTTTTAAACCAAGTGCCGGATTCTTTGTTACTCGGTATCTCCTGCAGTTATGTAAACCAAAGAGAGTAAATGGAAAATGGCTATTGGATATTAACATCTATGTAAATCAGTGCAGATGCTGAACTGGTAGCATTTTATATCCCCTTGCAGAGCAGAATATGACTACCTCAAGTTAAAAATGGGGTGAAATTTATTTTGGGTGAAGGAAAGCAGTAATGAGTGAGTACATGGAAACTGCTGTCACTTGGAGCCAGTCAAACTTTTCTTATCTAGGTGCCTGTGTGGATTATTATGTATGTTATGTATATGTGCACTTGCAGTCCCAAAAGGTCAAGAGAGTTGATTCTGCCCCTTTGCTCTGGTGAGATCCCAGCCAGAGCACTGCATTCATGTGTAGGGTCCCCAGCACAGAAAAGACATCGACCTATTGGAGTGAGTCCAAAGGAGGACAAATATAATGAGGAGGCTGGAACGCCTCTCCTATGAAGACAAGGGTGAGAGAGTTGGGTTTGTTCAGCCCAGAGAACAAAAGGCTTTGGGAAGACCTTATAGCAACTTCCAGTACTTAAAGTGGGCTACAGGAGTGCTGGAGAGAGACTTTTTACAAGGGCATGTTGTGACAGGACAATGAGGAATGGATTCAAACTGAAAGAAACTAGGTTTAGATCAGCTGTTAGGAAAAAAATCTTTACTGTGAGGGTGGTGAGGCACTGGAACAGGTTATCCAGTGAAGCTGTGGATGTCCCATCCTTGGAATTTTTCTAGGCCAGGCTGGATGTGGCTCTGAGCAAGCTGAGCTAATGGAATGTGTCCATACCCATGGCAGGAGGTTGGAACTAGATGATCTTCAACGTTCCTTCCAACCCAAACCATTCTATGATTCTATGATTTGCATGGCGGTTAACAAGCAGAAAGTGCAAGCGCTGAATTAAGGATAAAGGCCACTTCACAGAATCCCAGAATGGGTAAGGTTGGATGGGACCACAGTGGATCATCTGGTCCAACCTCCCTGCTCAAGCAGGGTCATCCTAGAGCACATTGCACAGAATTGCATCCAAATGGCTCTTGGATATCTCCGGTAAGGGAGACTCCACAACCTCTCTGGGCAACCTGTTCCAGTGCTCAGTCACACATATAGTAAAGACATTCTTCCTCATGCACAGGTAGAACTTCCTGTGCATCAGTTTCTGCCCATTGCCTCGTGTCCTATTGCTTGGCACCACCAAGAAAAGCCTGGGTCTATCCTCCTGACACCCTCCCTTCAGATACTTATAGACATTGGTGAGGTCCCCTCAGTAGTCTCTTAGGCACCTAACTCCAGTTTTTTTGCCTTTGAAATCTTTTGTGCCTTTGGAAACCTCCTATTCTTACCTAATTTATGTATGTATTTACTTTTGAAGGTTTTGCCTATTTAATCCATGATAGCAAAGAAAGGATATAGTACTAGTCTGAATTGGTACAGGAGCAAATGCCTCCAAAAATAGTGTGATTTTTTTAGAGGCCCATCTGTGAATTGCTGCTTTGTGCTGACCTACAATTTATGCAGCTTTTGCCCAAATCTAATGGCTTAAAAATAGTTTGTAAGTGTTACACGCATTCAGTCAGATTAGTCACTTAGTCAAATCATCCTTTCAACTGGTGCTTTCAGCAAATGGTTAAAACAGCATTTGAGGAAGGACCAGGTGTATGATCTAATGCCTGAAAGCAGCTCATGCTCAATGACATAATCCTAAGAATAAATGTGTTGTAAATGTATGGCCAAACACAAGAGAATATCTGTCATCAAGTAGCTAGAAGTGCCACATGGTTTTTGTATCACTGTGCTGGAACCACTGAGAGTTGTGCAGCACTTTCAGCTCTTCTGAGAAATATACCACACACTGCTTCATCATGCGCTGGATCCAGGGCAGATGCTTTTAAGAAATCCTTAACCAGCAGAAGTAAAATCTTACTGGGTATCTTTTCTTCTAGATGGAAGAAACTCAAAATTCACAGAATTTTAAATATACAGCTTCTAGTGGCATATATTCAACGGACTGTGGGACAGTGCCTCTCACCATGTTGTGGCACTATAGCTAAACAGAGGACACTGGGAGTCCTGTGCACAAGGATCAAAGTCTGGGTCCATCAGTGATGTACATGATGCCAGGTTAATCACTTGGTCTCTTCATGTCCTGCTTCTACTAGTGTATCAGGATAATATGCAATATGGATATTTGGAAGACAAAAACTTGGAAGAAAGGAACTGTACTACTACTATTACAATGACTATT